ATTACAATCTACTACTATTTAAAACAATGAAAAGAACAGACATCATAATTTCGAAGTAGTAAGTGGTTGAATATTCATCAGCACAGTATAAGTAGCTTTTGAGAAACTGGTAGTGATTAGGTATGGTTTGTCTGGTTAATTTTGGGTGATGAGGTGATTTCTTATTTGAGCCTTAAACTGATTTGCAGACAGGGGTCCTTTAGTTTGTTCTGGCAATGAACTCCAGATCTTCGGGCCTTTTACGTGCATAGCATTTTTTGCATAGGGAGAGATGAACACAGGGGAATATTGAAGAGTGATCTGTGTCTCGTATTATGGTTGTGTGTTCTGTTATAGTTATCAAGAAGTTTGAGAGGGGGGTTTACATTAGAGTATAGTGTTCTGTGTATGTAGTAGGCACAATAATATGTGTGGATGTTTTGTATATTTAGCAAGTTAAGACTCTTGAAAAGTGGTGGACTGTGTTGTCTAACGCAGGAGTTAGTAATGAATCGCACTGCAGGTTTTTGCTGGGTTATTAAAGGCTTAAGGTGATTTGCTGTGGTTGAGCCCCATGCACAAATACCATAGGTGAGGTAAGGGTAAATGAGAGAATGGTACAAAGCTAGAAGAGCTGACTGGGGTACATAGTACCGTATCTTTGAAAGGATGCCTACTGTTTTGGAGACTGTCTTGGAAATTTGCTGTATCTGTTTCTGAAATTTGAGACTGCAGTCAAGATGGAGACCTGGAAATTTGCCCTCTGCCTGTCTCGAGATAGGTGAACCATTTATCAGTATGTTTAGCTGTACACTTGAAGCTCTGTTTCCGAAGAGCATAAAGTAGGTTTTGTCTTTATTGAGAGTAAGTTTGTTGGTAATTATCCAAGTAGATATTTTTAGCAGTTCACCATTTACTGTGTCTGTTAGTATGGTTAGGTTTGGGTGAGAGAAGACATAAGTTGTGTCATGTGCAAATAAAATGAGTTTAAGGAGATTAGATGCGTTTGATAGGTCATTGATGTAAATGAGAAAGAGAAGTGGGCCAAGAACACTCCCCTGTGGGACTCCAACAGGAACAGGTTGTGTAGTGGAGCTGGCTCCATTTGTGTATACATACTGGGTTCTATTGTTAAGATAAGATTTTAGGTAATCGAGTTAGTTTTTTAGTTTAATATGTTTATTATGCACCCCATACCCATCCTGTGGGCGGTAGTCAAAAGATTACAGAGGTACATAATTGGTCCAGGGACTGGACTCCAAAGTTTTGATAGCTGAGCAAGTTACAGAGGTAATGAACTCACAATTTACAAAGGTAATGACACTCACAAAAGGGTCCAGACGGGCCCCCCAAAGTTGTGATGCGAACTAGGTACAACGGAAATGAGCTCAACAAGTTACAAAAGCTAATGAACTTCGTAAATGGCTTACTTACGTTTATCACACGGCCTACAATCCATGAAACAAATTATAGAGAAAAGCAATTCACACTTCCACACCCGTACACAACCGTAGAGTTACTGGTGCACAATATTGAAATTGTTGAGCACACACACACACACACACACACACACACCACAACACACACACAACACACACACACACACACACACACACACACACACACAATTTAGTTTAATATCTTTATGCAGCCACAACCCATCCTGTGGGCGTAATATGTACAAAAGATTACAAAGGTACATATTGGTCCAGTGCACTTTGGAGGACCCAAAGGTTATGATAGACTGACTAGTTTACAAAGTGTAATGAACTCCATGTAGAATCTGTCACTAATCATGGCAAGTTACAAGAAGGTAATGAATCAGCTTCCACTCCTATACATGGTTTCATTCATGAAACAAATTACAAAGTATGAACACGATAGTCCACACCTGGTCTACAGTTGTAAATGAGTTATAAATACAAGAATTTAAGTGGTCATACACCCACACTAGCGCGCGCGCACGCACATACACACACAGGGCGCACTGCACGGACAGTGCACACTGTAGGTAACAAATATATGCATTATCAGCCAAGGACGCACACCCACCACACAAACCGCACAAACAACACAACCAAACAACAACAAGACACACCCTCACGACACCCACACACACACCCTCACACACACCCACACACACGACACCCGGAGGCTCAGGGCACACACCAACACGCACACACACACCGAAACATGACAACACAACTCCACACGGCACACAAACAAGACCCACACACGCACACACACCACACACACACACACACCTCACACAACCCGACATACACACCTCAACACACCACACGCACGCAGCACACCACACACGCACACACAGAACAACTCAGACACAACAACACCACACACACAGACACAGGACACGACACACACACAACCCATCACACATCAGACCCACACACACACACACACCCACACACCCACACACACACACACACACACACACACACACACACACACACACACATGCACACATGTGGTAATGCTTTATTTACAGCTAGCAAAGTCAGGGTATTTCTCCAGAATGGTCTGCAATATACCACTGTGGATAAAATACTTTGCCATTTCTTGAACATTTCTGAGTGAGTTGTTTCTAAATTCATTAATTTTATCACACTCCAGTACATAACGACGCAAGGTGTGACAATAGTCCATCTGGCAAAGTTTACATTTCGTTTGGTCTACATCTGGTGGTGTTAGTTTAAACAACTAACCCAGCCGGAGTCGGGCAGTAGTGACATCCAAGAGTCTGCTTATCTTGTTGGATGCACCATAGACATGTGGCTCCTCCTGCATGATGGAATGATGATAGATGGACTGACTTGTGTCAATCTCCCTAAGTCTTAAGTCAATAAAGTTCATTTGAAGTTCTTTTCGTATTATTGTTCTCAAACTGCTAAATGACAACCCAAGATTGTAATCTACCCCCTCTTTGAAAGCATACAGCTTAGCCAATTTATCAGTTCTATCATGCATCTGAAGACCAATGTGAGATGGAATCCACAGCATGTGCACTCTGACTCCACTGTCCACAATCCTACCATACCTGTGTCTGGCTTCTGACACAAGCATGCCACAATTTATACTTAATGAGTTGAGAGCATTTATGGATGACAGAGAATCAGTTACAATTAAAGTGTCAACCTTAGATACATGGACACATTTGAGTGCAAGGAGTATGGCAAACAGTTCTGTTTGAAGGGTAGAGGCCAGTTATTGATGCGTGCTCCAATTTCTTTATGAGAGCCATCACTCTGTGTGACAACAGCAGCACTACCTGCTGCACCAGTGGACTGGTGAACAGAACCATCGACGTAAATAATTTGTGAAAGATTGTTCTGTGTGACTAAGTTATCAATACAGCTTAAGGCATCATGTTTGGCTTCAAGACGAAGCTTTGGTTGTGATTTGAGAAGAGTTTTGGGGGGAAATGGAGGAATGATAGTTTGGAATGGGGTAATATCCCATGGAGCAGGGAAATGTCTCTGTTGTCCAACTTGATATAGATCATGTAGCTGGTTCATGCGGAGGTCGGTTCCAGTTTTTTCGATCCATCTGGAAGGATGTTCACCAGTGCTGAGGAAAGTTTGGAGGGCTTCTGTGCAGGGGTTTGAATGGGCTAGCCTAAGCATATTGACCCCAATAAGGATATTTCTTTCAGTAACACGATCTCTAATGCTTGGAATATTAAGTTCTTTCCGCATATTTAAAATTTTGGCAGTACGAGAGGCATCCTAGGATGATCCTCATTGCTTCGTTTTGCAGTTTTTCCAGCCCTCCAAGCTTCCAGTCAGACACGAGTGCAAGTAGTGGCGCTGCATAATCAACCAATGATCTAATATAAGCAAGATACATCATTTTCACAATTTTAACATTAGCACCATACCTAGGATGAAAACCTGCCACAACTCTAAGTGCTCTCAGCCTTTCTTTGTATTGGCGACAAAGTCTCGTTACAACAGGTCCAAGTAGTGGAACCTCAAAGCCTAGATACCTGTATCTGCTTACATATTCTAGAAGAGACCCATCATGCAACTGGATCTGACGAACTGTGCCTCTCTGCCGAGGAGGACGCCTGTTGAGTATCTTTGTTTTATCCCCTGAGATTATTAACCCCAGGTCCTGACACGAGGCTAGTACATGATTAAGAATGTTTTGGGTGTTGGAGAATCCGGTAGTGTGAATCATTATGTCATCAGCAAAACTAACCATATAATGATGGGGCTGGCTAGGCATGGCATTAAGTAAGGCATTAATCAAAATGTTGAAAAGGGTGGGACTAAGCACACCTCCCTGTGGGGTTCCTAATTCAAAATCTTTAGTTACACTTCTATGTCCCTGGAACAACACAGACGACTTTCTGTTGGACAGGTAACCTTTAATCCAGCGGAGAAGCCATCCTCCAACATCCATTCTGGCAAGTTCACTAATGATTACATGTCTGTTGGCTACATCAAAAGCGGATTTAAGGTCAAGGAACGTAGTGTATGAGCTGTCAGTGTGCAGAGTGAGAAAGGTGGTAATGCAATGATGCACACTCCTTCCATGCATGAAGCCATGCAACCGGGGTGACAAGAATTCCTTAATTCTGTGCATAAGACGATTAAGAATCATCCTTTCAAATGTTTTACACAAGCAGCTAGTAAGGGATATTGGGCGAAATGAGTTTTGTTGATTGGGCTTTGGAATGGGAATAATGAGGCTATTGGTCCATGATTTAGGGAGCTCCCCAGTGACATAACTCATGTTATATAATTCAAGTAAAGGATTACCTGGTACTCGACACAGCAATCTGAGTATGTTGTAAGTAATACCATCCTCACCAGGCGACGTGGAGTTGCCCTTAGTTAGTGCTGCATCAAGTTCATAATTAGTGAAAGGAATGTTGCAGTCATCTGCCTTGCTGAGCATAAAGCAAACAAGTCTCTCCCTTGCATCATCCCGTAATGTTCGAGTTTTTGGTGCAAAAGGTTATGGTTAACTGTATCAAAAGCTTATCTTAAGTCTCTGAACAGCCCCAGGGGAAATTCAGTTTTCTCGAGTGCAGAATATATTAGTTCAAGTATATGTATAATAGCATCATTAGTACTTTTTTTCGGTCTGAACCCAAACTGACAAGGGTTGAGTATGTTGTGGGATACGAAGTAGAAGTAGACTTGTTTGTGTATTAATTTTTCGAAGATTTTAGATAGTAAGGGGAGGTTTGATACAGGCCTATAATTGTTTAATTCAGTTGGATCACCTCCTTTGAGGATCGGGGTGACTCTTGCTGTCTTGAGTATGGATGGGAAGGTGGAAGATTTAGTGGATATCTTAGAGTTGCAATAATTGGTGACACATGAAGTTTTTTTTATACGAGTTGTGGTAAGTTATTTAGGTTTCCTGTCTTGTTTTTTAGTGTTTTGATGATAAGCGAGATTTCAGTAGACTTTGTTGCGGATAAAAGTAGAATATTTGGGTAGTTGCCAGTGAGGTAGTGTTTTAGGTGAATATTTGAGCTTGGGATAATACTTGCTAGTTTTGCTCCTACTGTAGAGAAAAACATTTTGTTGGCAGTATCGGTTGGCTGGAGGAGAGGTTCGTCTGGTTTAGTAAAGTTAATCATTCTGTTTTGTGACAGCTTTTTAGATCCTAGAATTTCATATAAGGTTTTCCAGGTCTTTTTCATACCACCTTTTATGTCATGAAATCTGTTTTCATAATGCAGTCTTTTTGACCTCATTAGATTGGTTAGTATTGACGTGTAACCTCACATTGTATTGTTTACAAAACATGTACACACAAACCAACAATAAAAAAAGTTGTTTATTACTTTTGTTCTATAATATATATACACATATATAGCCACTGGACATGATCCTAGAACTGCTAAAGCTTCTGGAAGCTAGTTGTTGTGTGTGGGTGAACTTGTGAATGTGCTGAGTCAGGGCGTGGCTGGTATCACAGTGACACACTATACCATTAATCACTACCCTCACTGCCTTTGCCAGTACCCATGGGGACCCATGCCTTCTTCCCCACCACACCACCCACATGGAAATCACTCAACTTTGACTTTTTGGGTCATCCTAGGTTGATGGTCGTCTGGGTCGTCCTTCCTACCTTCCTTACATTCATCTCTAGATTCCTTCCTTCCTACCTACCTCCTTTCCTTACTTCTTCCTTCCTTCCTTTTATCTATTCCTTCCTTTTTTCCTTCCTTTCTTCCTTCCTTCCTTCTGGTTTTCTGGGTATTGCTTTTGGTCAGTGAGGTATTTCTTACCGCAAGGCATGGTAAACAAGGCATATTGAAATGGCATTCCCACAATGCACCACTGGCTCCAAGATTTTTTTTATACTGCACGCACTGACTGTGCAGACCCATTCTCTCACATGTAAGCCCACCAGCTTTCTCCCGCTTGATTTCCCCTCACGGAAGGTTCCTTGAAGTTGGTGAGGGGCTCTTGATTTAGGGAATTGGATCTGTGCTCCAGTTCCCCGAATTAAGCCTGAATGCCTTCCACATCCCCCCGGCGCTGTATAATCCTACGGGTTTAGCGCTTCCCCTTGATTATAATAATAATAATCCCGCTTGATTTGAAGACTCTAGAATTTATGTGTATAAGTACATGATTGACCGTAGGTGAAGACATACATGTACGTGACTGACCCAGAAAGGGTTAATACAGCCTCTCCTCACTTAGTGACGTACTCGTTTAACGACGACTCAGACTTAAGACGAGCTCTCTGACCAGTATGCATACCTAAGTAATGTATATTAGAGCTGATTACAATGGACCGTCGGGTAATGACATTAATCCGTTCCGGAGAGCTTGCCTTTAACCGATTTTGCCTTTAGCCGAATTAATTTTCCCCATAAGAAATAACAGAAATCCAATTAATCTGTTTCAGACAGCCAAAAGTATTAACAAAAAATATTTTTTTTAAAGATTAAATATAGATATACATAGAGAAAACAATGACATATAAATATAAAACACTAATTAAATGAATAAATGAACATTTAACATCACGCTTACCTTTATTGACTCTTGTTGGTGTATGGAAGACAGGTAGGAGGCGAGAGGGAGACGAGTTTATTATGTCTCAGTATGACACTATCATCATCTCTACAGCTTATTTATCTATCACAATTCATCTAATATGGCATAATAAACAATATTAATAACATAGAAACATGACATATGCCCTAGAATGAATAAAATGTCATGTATGTGAGCAGTAAGTGGTGGTAGTGTTGTTGTTGGGTTTATAAGGGCCACTGACAGAAGCCTACATAGTGGTGGTGGTGGGGTGGTGGAGGCAGAACCCACTACCACTATACCACCACTATTCACACTTAAACAATGTATGTAATTTATAAGAAATATTTACATTTTAATTTATACATAGTAAGTTTATTCAGGTATACACAAATAGTTACATAAATAGATTATCATACATAGCAGCATATGTGTAAAGTACCTAAGATAACCCCAAAAAGTCAGAGTGACTTACGTATTTCCATTGGGGTCTTTTTATATTTACACTTATATTTACTTTTATACTTACATTTTTATATTTACACTTACCCTGGAGGAGATGTTAGTTTAATTAGTTAGTTTGATGGAGGAGATGCTGGCAGAGGTTTAGGGTGGTGGAAGATACGTAGCAGGCTGGCATATGTTCATTGGCCCGATACACATCCAACAACATTGGAGAGTTACTTTCATGTCGTTTTTCTATCGCTTAATCGCCTAACTTACTTGCTACACTGTTAATTCTACACTTTATCGATGGCTGGCACTATAGCTTTTATTGATACCTGCTGCTTTAGTATCGTACATATCGTAGAATCACTGATTCACTACAGAAGGCACATTCTCCCCTCTCTCTCTTCTTCCTCCACTTTTGTACTTTGCTATGAGTTTTTTCTGAATTCTATTGTGCCTCTTTCCTTCTTTACTGCAGGGCTGGCACTAGAAGCTTTCTTTGGGCCCATGGTGGCTTATTTAGCAGTTACAAGCACTAAAAACAATGGAATAATACAAAATATATTGCATGTTTACCTGGAGTTTACCTGGAGAGAGTTCCGGGGGTCAACGCCCCCGCGGCCCGGTCTGTGACCAGGCCTCCTGGTGGATCAGAGCCTGATCAACCAGGCTGTTGCTGCTGGCTGCACGCAAACCAACGTACGAGCCACAGCCCGGCTGATCAGGAACTGACTTTAGGTGCTTGTCCAGTGCCAGCTTGAAGACTGCCAGGGGTCTGTTGGTAATCCCCCTTATGTGTGCTGGGAGGCAGTTGAACAGTCTCGGGCCCCTGACACTTATTGTACGCGTGGAATCGTCCTCCCTGGCTTGTAAACAATGGTACACTGGCTTTACATGGGCTCAGGCTGCACAGACACGTTCAGGACGAATGTTCTGAACCGAGTTCTTGAGCGTTAGGTAGCCAATATTTTGATGCAAAAACGTGCTGCTATCCGATTTTGGCGTTAGCCGATGCCGCCATTACCCGAGGGTCCACTGTATCTCTATTCTGTTTATTATAATATACAGTACACTACTGTATAAACACTTAAAAATATACCAGAAATGTTATAAATGGTATAAAAGTGACATTAAAACAATATCAAAGATGGCTGAAACAAACCCACTACCATTATACGTAGTATGCTCCTCACTTAGCGACGAATTTGTTTACTGATGTGGTCTTATTAACAGAACTCCATCGTTAAGTGAGGAGAGGCTGTACACTAATTATAAACGTAAGTTGCATTTACCCATTTATTCCATTGGTGATATATCTTAATGTCTCCTTAATACATGTATTGACTAATAACTAGCTACCTTACCTGTAGTGTGAAGTTTAATACACACAGGGAGGAGAACATAAATTATTGCAGTGCACATGGTGATATTATTCCTCATCTTGTTAACATTGCATCTCTTTTTTCATCCTTATCAGTATCATTTTGAAGATTACACTATATATTTAGACACTTCCAGATGCGCTTTGATTTCCTTTATCCATTCGTTACAAAATTCAGCCAATATTTCTATCGGCTCTGATGGTCCTTGATTAATTACCCCACTCATTAGTACTATGTACACATTATACACCACATTCCCGGCTTCCTACCAAAACGTTTTTCTTTTACACATATTTATTTAAATTCAGTGACATTTAGATGTAATACATTTTCCTTAACAGAATATTAATTTCCTCTAAACTACACCGATTACAATAAATAAGGAAATTGTAGGGAATATAGGTTTTCCTATGATTTAACACCTTTTAAAAAGTCACATTAAAGATACACGCCTACACCATAACATAAACATTACATTCCTATCAATTAACACACAAATCACAAGAAAATTATCAAAGTTTTCCACACTAGTTGAAAATTTTCAGGCGATAATCTGTGAACGCCTCATCCCATCAACTTCCAACTCTCAGAGGTGATATATCTGACTAATTGGAAACTTTGGAGTGTTATTGCACATTGTTTGGTCCAACTTACAAGATTTTACTTCAGCTTTTCAGCTCTCCTCTCTGCTAACTAATAGGAGGTATCCAAGTTCCAGCTCTCTAAAAATAAATATCAAATGTTTTTCTTATAGGCTTATAGAAAATTTGAAATATAATGTAACTGAGAGGTGTATACAGTGGTACCCTTGGATGTGAGCAGCTCAAAACTCAAACGGTTATGTAAGTGTATTTATGCAAGTGCTCTTGTAAGTGTATTTTTGGGGGTCTGAAACGGATTAATCTAACTTACATTATTCCTTATGGGAACAAATTCGTTCAGTATCGGCACTCGAACAGCCTTCTGGAACGAATTAAGTTTGTATCCTGAGATACCACTGTATTGAAAATTCTCTGTTTCATTATTTTTAAGTTCCATGAGCTGTTAAATATCAAATTTTCGTACAGCTTTATTCCAGAGCCGGTACATATACATGTACTCAGGTACAGTCTTCTCATTCATAACTTGAGAAAGCCTCATCCAATCGACCTTCAAGGTCAACTATAAATAGGGAAAAATAATGTGGAACAACTGGCATGTGCAGGTTACATCTGGTTAATGAGATTCAATTATGCCTGCCTGATGATCAAAGAAGTTAATTTGCAGTGATGCAAATGCTTTGAATCATCTTTAATCTCTATTTCAGACACAATTAAACAAAATAAAGGTAGCTTTGCCATTTCTGAGGTACGTATTAGAAAGAATTCTACTCAAGACAATCGACCCTGTCATCACATAGCACCAAGAGCTACTTCACTACTACTACCACTGTTGCTACTACACTACTACTACTGCTGCTACTACTACACTACTACTGCTGCTGCTGCTACTACATGGGTCAGTAAGCCTACTGCAGTGCTTATACTCTTTCACCTAACATTATATCTTATATAATTTGTGTCCTTGTACTGTTTGTAACTGCTTGACAAAGTTTATGGAGAATGAAATGTTACCACAATAAAATGTCACATTAGTTGCATGTATGTTCTTTTCCCTAAGGTATGTGTTGATTAAAGAGTAGTAAAAGATGAGGAGGGATGCTTGGAGGATATAGAGAATGCCCACTGTCTTGTTTTTTCTTTATTATAGATGCTCTGGATGTTTGATGAGTTTTACTTTGCTGTCCAGGTGCATACCCAAAAATTTACCCTCATCCTGCCTATTGATTGGTGTATTGTTAATCTTAATCTTTATGTTTGAATGAACATTGTTAGCTTTGTGCTCAAACATTATGTGTATGTATAAGGTTTTGTCACTATTTAGTGTTTGTTGTGATCGAAGTACGTAAATATTTTTGCAAGTTTGACGTTTACAGTGTTGAGTGCAACCGGTCGCCGTTTGATGTAATAAAAGCTGTCGCCTGCAAAAAGAATTGGTTTAAGTCTCTGTGAAGCATTAGGAAGGTCAGTGATGAACAGTAGACAAGGAGGAGCAGAGGGTCTAGGAACCACTTTGATTGATCAGGTTGCTGAACAACAGTCATTAATGGTCACATGTCGATGTCTGTCACTCAGGTAAGATTGAATGTATGATAGGAAAAGAGCAGAGTGTGAAATGAGATTGTAATGCAGTTAAATGTTAGTATCGAGGGAGAGAGTATGGAAGAGGTGGGAATGGACATGTCAGCGGATGGGTCTATGAAGGATGAGGCGAATCACAGAATTGACGAGGGGAAAAAGGTGAGTGGTGCACTGAGGAGTCTGTGGAGACAAAGAACTTTATCCATGAAAGCAAAGAGGGGAATGTATGAGAGTATAGTTGTACCAATGCTCTTGTAAGGGTGTGAGCCATGGGTTGTGAATGTTGCAACTGGAGGCAGTGGAGATGTCATGTCTGTGGGCAGTGTGTAGTGTGAATATAATGCAGAGAATTAATAGTTTGGAGATTAGGAGGAGGTGTGGGATTCCCAAAACTATTATCCAGAGGGCTGAGGAGGGGTTATTGAGATGGTTTGAACATGTAGAGAGGATGGAATGAAATAGAATGACTTCGAGATGTACAAATCTGTGGCGGAGGGAAGGTAGGATAGTGGTCAGTCTAAGAAAGGTTGGAGGGAGGGGGTAAGGGAGGTTTTGTGTGCGAGAGGCTTAGACTTCCAGCAAGCGTGCATGAGCATGTTAGACGAGCGAATGGAGACAAATAGTTTTTGGGACTTGACGTGCTGTTGGGTTGTAAGCAAGGTAATATTTATGAAGGGATTCAGGGAAATCGGTAGGCTGGGCTTGAGTCCTGGAGATGAGAAGTACAGTGTCTGCACTCTGAAGGACGGGTGTTAATGTTGCAGTTTTATAACTGTAGTGTAGGCATGCCTCTGGCAAGACAGTGATGGAGTGAATGATGAAAGTTTTTCTTTTTCAGGCCACCGTACCTTGGTGGGGAACAGCCAATATGTTAATAAAAAAGAATATTGAGGATATGAAGCAAATCAGACGAGGTATTCACAGGTGATCACATAGAAACCCAATATGCCAGTTTCTTCAATAAAATGGCAAATTAGGACATGCACAGCCCAAAGCTAATTCAAGCCATCCACTAAGAAACACCAGCTTCGAGCTGAACTGAAGAGGCATTCTTTTATATCAGAGAGACCAAAATCTTAAAATACACAGCACATTGAACTTAAAGCTGTTTAAAAATTGAAGTCTTTAAGTACCTGGATGCAGCACTCAGAAAATGTGATAAAAAGCATTTTCTGCTTTTTTTTATTAATTTGCCAAGTTATATTTTTTTAGCATTTATATTTAGCATGGATCTTTTACACAATAAATATTTTTACATACTAATATTTTTTTGCTACCCTTCTTTACCAAAAAATAAATATTCATGTAGTGAAAATTAAACATCCACTTTTTTTGAAATGCACCCCTGGAACCTTTTTGGTTACCCATGCATCAAAGACCCTGACTGGGGGCCACCTATAATAGCAATTTATAGCAAAATTTGGCAAAGTGACGAGCAGTTATGTCTTGGAAAAGGTCGTTCTACAATATACTGAGAGAATTTATAATTCAGCTCACTCACTGAGTGTCTGTGGTTTGTTCTCAGTACAAAGGGGGAAATGTTGGGCATGTTTCCTTACACCTGGGTGCCCCTGTTCACCTAGCAGTCAGTAGGTACCTGGATGTTATAGGGCTGGTGTGGGTTGCATCTGGGGAGGGGGGGGGGTAGTTTTGCCTTGGGGTAAGGCTGGGCTTTGAAGGAGCTGAGGCAGGATAAAAGCTCTTAGCCTGTAAAATTTGTGTAAAAAAACAAAAAACTCAGTATGTCTACACTGGGGAGACACACCTCATGGTGTATACATCTTGTGTGATGTATTTATTGGTTGGGTGAATGTATTTTGAAGGGCTGTCAAAATACATGAGGGACATTAAAGCAGCATGGGCCCTTGTTAACCCATCAAGAAAGCTTTAATTCCTAATGTAGGGAATTAAACACTTGGCAATATATAGACTGAGACATACCTCATGGTGTATACTGTATATCCTGTGATTATTGGACATGCCTCTCCTCAGTTAAGGGAAGGAGAGAGGGAAGTTAGTTGCAGGATGGATTATGATCTGCACCACAAGCTGGGCATTCTGCCAGTGATCTGTAATATCTTGTCAGATGGCCAAAGCACCACAAATAATTCTGGTGCTTTGGCCGTCTGGCATTGTTTGGAGTTCCCTAACATGTAAGCAGTGTCCTGCAATATAAACAAACGATGGTAGGTCTTGGCGATCAATAGGGCAGTTTAGCTACATTGCTCCAATAAAATGTATGACTGCAGGCATGGCAGACACAAGTTTCCACTTTAGTGACTGGGAAGTTTTAGAGCTTGAGTTCTTCATGAATGTTTGGGCTGCACTGTATAAACTCTTGCTTTATTATAGTGTGTGAGATGATAGTTTCACAGTTCAAACTGAGGGACAAGTGTATGTGAATAGTGACTAGGACATTGTTGATAATGTGCATTTGAAAAAGACTGGTGGCCTGGTCTGTATCATGTACATTGACAATACACATCCCACTCAAGAGCATAGAAGGAGAAATTTGGGGCAATAGATTTAATGAGTTCTTTGCTAATACATACTATAGTTTGTGAGATAATCCATATGGGATGTTGGAGGGGAAAAGACTTTTACCCAGGTTTTCAGAATGGTATATTTGTAGGGATGTGAATGAAAAGGTATGGCAGCATATATCAAGGTCTTTTGGGTGATGACTTTGAGCCAGTCTATCCCCTGATGTGCAGTCTGAAAACCATTGCTACATCATGGAAGAAGCCAGGGTCACAGTCAAAGACTGAAGGACAGAGGAATCAAAGGGATCAGATAGAATGCCAGTACCTGGGTCTGGCAACAAGGGGCTACTTGAAAGTGATACCAGGTTCTGAGGAGAGTCAGGCTGCATGCAGGGAATAATCAGTGAGTGTAGCTAATTGTACGGGTAGAAAGATTATTATCCACATAATAATAATAATTACTTTCAGCTCTATTAATCCAACCAACCATCTAGCAGCTTACCTGTTGACTAAAAGAAACAAACCCATGGTTAATAGAAAGGTATACATGAGTGACCAACATATTGCTAAATGTCAGCTACAGGACCAGACTGGTACCTACTCACTGATGTTCACTTGGCCCTAGCCCAATACATCACTCTGTCAGACAGGGTAGAGAAACAACAAACCAGTTGATTAATTTAAGCAGGGCCCACACTGAGCTTCTTGTTTGACCTCTATGCCCTTACCTGAGGGCCGCAACTCCAATGGCAGACTCAGCTTTTGAGTTCATAGGTTACTGTGCACTTACCATGCACAGTAACCTGTAAGTGCACAGGGCAGTATTTAGTTTGGTCTCTACATTACAGCCATTCTGAGGAAGCCGCAGCCCACCCAGTAAAGCGATGACCTAGATTTCCCCACTGGGTATATAAAGAACCTGATATCAATGGGAACAAGCCCCAGTGCATACAACACATTTGAAATGTAATACCACTTTAGATTTTTTTTTTAACCTCAATGACTGTCTCCCACCAAGGTAGGATGATGCCCCAAAAAACGGAAACACATTCACAATAATTCATTCGATTGCTGTCGTGCCAGAAGTGTGTGACGACATAATTCAGATGACTCTTCAACTCTTAACAACCCCATCCCCTACTTCAGAGTGCAAGGGTCATACTTCTCACCTCCAGGACTAAAGTTCAGCTTACCAATTTTCCCTTAATTCCTTCCTAAATACTACTCTACTCACACTCTATTCATGCTTCATGCCTATCTAGTATGCTCAAACAAGCCTGATTTATGAATTTAGAAAAGGCATATGATAGAGTGGATAGGGAGACAATGTGGCAAATGTTGCAAGTATATGGAATAGGTAGTAAGTTACTAATTGCTGTAAAGAGTTTTTATGAGGATAGTGAGGCTCAGGTTAGGGTGTGTAGGAGAGAGGGAGACTACTTCCCAGTAAAAGTTGGTCTTAGACAGGGATGTGTAATGTCACCATGGTTGTTTAACATATTTATAGATAGGGTTGTAAAAGAAGTAAATGCTAGGGTGTTGGAGAGAGGGGTGGGATTAGATTATGGGGAGTCAAATACAAAATGGGAGTTGACACAGTTACTTTTTGCTGATGATACTGTGCTTTTGGGAGATTCTCGAGAAAAGTTACAAAGGCTAGTGGACAAGTTTGGGAGGGTGTGTAAAGGTAGAAAGTTGAAAGTGAACATAGATAAGAGTAAGGTGATGAGGGTATCAAACAATTTAGATAAAGAAAAATTGGATATCACATTGTAGAGAGGGAGTATGAAAGAAGTGAATGTTTTCAAATATCTGGGAGTTGATTTGTCAGCAGATGGGTTTATGAAGGACGAGGTTAACCATAGAATTGATGAGGGGAAAAATGGTGAGTGGTGCATTGAGGTATCTGTGGAGACAAAAGACGTTATCCATGGAGGCAGAGAAGGGAATGTACAAGAGTATAGTGGTACCAATGCTCTTATATGGGTGTGAAGAATGGCTTGTAAATGCGGCAGCGAGGAGGCTGGAGGCAGTGGAAATGTCGTGTCTAAGGGCAATGTGTGGTGTAAATATTATGCAGAGAATTTGTAGTGTGGAAATTAGGAGGATGTGTGGAGTTACTAAAAGTATTAGTCAAGAGGGCTGAAGAGGGGTTGTTGAGGTGGTTTGGTCATTTAGAGAGAATGGAACAAAGTAGAAAGACTTGGAGAGCATATAAATCTGTAGGGGTCATCCTCGAAAAGGTTAGAGGGAGGGGGTAAATAAGGTTTTTGTGGGAGATGGGCTTGGACTTCCAGCAAGCATGCATGAGCATGTTAAATAGGAGTGAATGGAGACGAATGGTTTTTGGGACCTGATGAGCTGTTGGAGTGTGAGCAGGGTAATATTTTGTGAAGGGATTCAAGGAAACCAGTTAGCCAGACTTGAGTCCTGGAAATGGGAAGTACAATGCCTGCACTGTAAAGGAGGGGTTTGGGATATTGGCAGTTTGGAGGGACATCTAAATTGTCGTATCTGAGTGCCTCTGCAAAGACGGTGATTATGTATGAGTGATGGTGAAAGTGTTGAATGATGATAATTTTTTCTTTATTTTTGGGTTTTTCTTTTTGAGTCACCCTGCCTCAGTGGGAAATGGCCGATGTGTTAAAAAAAAAAAAGAGCCTGATGGATGCTCAAGCCCCTGAAGCTCAAAGTCTCCTTTACCACTCTCCCACCAACTGTTTCTGGGATGCCCCCTACCCCTCTTACCTTCCTCTCCAGATTTATATATTTTCTTTGTCATCCGATACGTACCTCTCCAACCTCTCGAGAATTCCAAATCACCTCAACAGCTGCTCCTCAGCCCTCTCAGGTATGCCCTTGGAAACCCTACACTGCCTTTTATTTTCTACACTCTGAGGTCTTTGCATAATATTCACTTCATATTGCTTTCGAACATAACGTCTCCACTGCCTCTAGCCTCCTCACTGCAATGTTCAAAGCCCATGTCTCACAATCATACAAGTAATGGTGCACTTATAAACTGGTACATTCCCATCACCTTCCTTTTTCCCCACTCCTAAATATCTAAGTATATGTTGACTTCCTCCCTTCAGTCTGGTATCCAATTTATTATTACTTAGATTTATAACCTTCATTATCTTGCTCTTTCTATATTCACTTTAAATTTCCCACTTTTACATACCTTAACAAATTCTTCTACCAATCTTTGCATGTTGTCTTCTGAATCTCCTAGAAGAACCATATCAGTGGCAAAGAGCAAATGTGATAACCCCCAATTTGTATCATTGTTTAATTCCACACCACACACTAACACCCTAGCATTCACTTATTATAAAACCCCATCTATGAATAGATTAAACAATCACAGTGACATTATGCACTCTTAAGTCCTACTTTCACTTGGAAATAGCACCCCTACTTCCTTCTACATACCCTAACCTAGGCAATCATTCTCTACCTCCTATTACACACACACACATTTTCAGTATCTGCCACATGGTTTCCCTGTCCACCCTATCACACTTTCTAAATCCAT